AAAGGATGTCATGTGAAAACACTCATATAGGAAACTTTCTTCTCTTAAAAAGTATTTTGTAACCCTGGCTGATGTGGCTCAGTGAACTGAGCACTAGCCTGCAAACCAAAGGGTCGACAGTTCAATTCCCAGTCAGGGCACATGCCTGGGTTGCAGGCCAGGTCCCCAACAAGGGGCTCATGAGAGGCAACCACACATTGATGTTTCTCTCCCTTTCTTTTTTCCCTCCCTTCCCCTCTCTAAAATAAATAAATAAAAATTTTTAAAAAAGTATTGTGTTTGTGTACAAATGATGTGTTGTGGAATGGTGCACCTGAAACCTGTATAATTTTGTTAACCAGTGTCACCCCAATAAATTCAATAAAAAGGAAAAATAAATAATGTGTATTAAAACTATTTCAATAATTCCCAAACACATCATTAATGATGCATGAATTATAAAGGACCTTCCAGTAGTAAATGGATATTAACTTAAAACATCACCAAGCAAAGTTCATTATGGTTATGCATAGAGATTTCTAAATTTGGTCAATTTCATGTCAGTTTTACAACCCCTATTCATGTCATAAAGAGTAGCAGGAATGAACAGGAAACTGCAGTATTGTTTACTTGAGTTTGTTCTGCATTGCAAGGATCAGATTTCCACTAATCAGGTTTACCTGGAAATTGTAGCCCTGAAGAATTTCTAAACATGAAGAAACTTTTAGAATGAATCGATGGTTTGCTTTTGAAGTTTTAGAAGTGAATAAAATGTATAAGCACTTTATCCTAATGGCATGTGGAAAACAGTGTAAAAGACCAGGAGTTACCGACCATTATTAATAAAGCAGTGAGAAAGTGGCTCGATGTGGTTGGGAATGAAGACACAAACAGTATCTGAGGCAAGAATGGGGCCTGATATATTTCCTGCGTTCTGTTCCATTTCTTGAAGAAAGTTTCTATTTATCTCTGTGAAATGATGACAATAGCTGATTAACATAAGGAGGAATTATTAATTTATACAATATCCCTTTAGTGCATAAACAGTTTGGAATATGTTGTTGGTCCCATGCATAATTTCATATTGGACAGCCAAAGTAATGTCATTTCATAAACAACTCATGTCTTTTTTAAATATCACTTAAGAAATGATTTGTGGTAACAATGGAAGGTTTTACATGAGGGGTAGCTTGTTTATTTCTTAATTTTTAAAAAAATCTGTTTATTTATTTTTAGACAGAGGGGAAGAGAGGGAGAGAAACATCAATGTGTGGTTGCTTCTCACATGCTCCCTACTGGAGAGCTGGCATGCAACCCCGGCATGTGCACTGATTGGGAATCGAACCGTCAACCTTTTGGTTTGTGGGCTGGTGCTCAATCCACTGGTCACACCTGATTATTTCTTAATTTAAGCATCCTTAAATCTCAGTCACAGATCTGTGAAGTAAAAAGAAACTTATACACTTGGCCCCAGCTCAGGCCCCTTGATCTAATATGGAGTAAAAGGTCTTTGCCATTTTATTTTTAAAGTTCACAGATTAATTCATACATGGAATTAAGAGGCAAAGTGGTCCTTACATTTATAACATCTTCACAATTCTCTTTGAAATGAATTAATTTTCTCCTCTGTTACCCTGCAACAAGCGCTTTCTCTCTGATAGGATAGTGGTTAAGTGCATAAGCTCTGTGCTTAAACTGCCTGGCTTGGAATCCTGGCTCCAACATTTACCAGCTGTGGGACCCAGGGTAAGCTAATGGCCTCACCCATAGAATGGGAATAATAATACTATCTATTTCACAGGTTGTTGTGAAGACAATAGGTTAGTGCATGTAAAAATTGGCACTCAAAAATGTTAGCCATCTTGATGTTGATGATAATAATGATATTGAGGTTGAATCTGACTTCATTACAGGCCTCTGGGTATTTTACATTTTGATAGTTTCACTTCCTAGACTTTGGAAGTCCTAGACTGGGATTCTTGGAGGATGTAGTAATTCTAACCTGCCCACACCTAGGGACAACAACCTTAGTAGTAGTTTCAGGTTTCCTAAACCCCCACTCCCCTCCTTCCCCACCTGCTCCTGAAGTGCTGGAATAAGCTGGCATCCCACTGGGCACCCTCTTCCTTGCTGGGCCACTTTTAAGGGACATAGAAAGCAGCTCTGGCAGGACCAGGCTGAGACAGGGTCACTTGCGAGTATTTTCTGGGATGCAAGGGAAAAAAATTAGTTGGAATAGTTCATTAATAACTTTTTTTTACCTTGCTTACATTTTAAATTGATGATATTTTGTATAAATTGAGTTAAATATATTGATCAAAATTAATGTTTCTTTTACATTTTTGTTGTATGGCTTCTAGAAAATTTTAAATTCTGCATGTGGCTCATGTTTGTGGCTCACACTGCATTTCTATGTGTCTGTGCGTGCTCTGTGAGAGGAACAGAAAAATGTCCGAAGGCAACCACAAGCCTTTGCCGAGTCTAACAGTTAGGAGGTGTGGAAGTGAGGCCTGTCTCAGGCGGGAGATTGGTGCAGGCAATTTCTGACCACAGGTTTAGTATGGACCAATAAACCAAAAAGACATGCGGGGAAAAGGTCCCACAGGGCACATGGCAAGCATTTGCAATATAGCAGAATGTATGCATCAAATAGTGGCCATGAGTTTGAATTATCAGTTAAGCCCTCCAAGAAATAACTTAAATTGAGGTACTGCAGCATTTCATAGGCTTTAAAATGCTGTGTGAATGAAGACACTAACAAGTACCAAGAACCCACTGACAAAATAATCTTCATCTAGCGCCCCCCACCATGCTGTAAACAGGCACTTTAAATAAAAACACAGCTTCAGAGCAAACCTCCTACTCCCCAACTCCTTCTAACCAGACTTCTAGCTCTAAGTCCCTTCACAGCAGCAACTCTGGATCTGCCTCTGGCTTAATACTAAAGGGGGAAATGTGTGTGTGTTCATATATATTCAAATATATAAAACATACATATATTTGAAAATTAACATATTGATGTTGGAGTCTTCATGATAAAAGGCAAATTTACTAAAAAAGAGGGGAACCAATTGAAAATCACTACCTTTATTTTTAAAAATACAGTTTATACAATAGATCAGTTCCTAAATTTCTCATCTGAGCCCATTCCTAGGCTGTTTAAATAGCTGGGGGTCAGGGATATTTTTATGTACACACTCACAAGTAATAAATAAAATTCCAAGAACTGCTAAGGCCTACCTGTCCAAGACAGGCACTCATACAGAGATGATTTATGACTCCTATGTTGAATTCTAAATTGTTTAGTGGAACTTGAAACACTTTCTTTCATAGATACTTATTCTGCATCCTAGTCTCAACCCCAAAAAGTTGATTTAACTCCTAACATAATCTCAACGTCCTATTGGTGAAACAAAACAAACCCATAGGAGCCATGTTGGTTTCTACATCATGGCATTTCTGTTGCACAAACTTCCTGGCTGTGAGCGGAATGGGAGTTACAGCCTCCCACAATCCTACTTCATCTAATGACATAGTACATCGTACATATCCCATCTCATTCCCCCCGAAGTGTAACTTACTGATTCCGCCCATCTTCTGCCCTAACAGAGGGTGGGGCAGATGTGTGTGGGCAGTGGGAACCACGGAGAAGAAAATGTAACTAAGAAAAAGAGTTAATTTGGGGGAGGGGAGGGTCATTTCCAGGCTTTTAGAACCCTGTGTTCTTTCCCACTCCTGAGGATGAGCATATGAATATAATCAAAAACAGTATTGGCAGGCACTGTCCATTCGCTTTTTTTTTCCCCTACAAGATTGTGGCTAGCGAGAACCACTGACAACTACTTGCTCCCTGCAAGGTCAGTCTTGTTATGCTGAAGATTATGAAGTGGAGCTGCCCAAACTTCCAGTTCCCACATCTCCGTAAGAGGCCAGCCCACCCTCAGACATATCTCCCACTCCCTATGGCTCAAACTCACAGCTTCTCAGAACTAACTCCTGAAGTTGCTCCGCACCAGGACAGCACCCATCCCAGTACCCAGGGTCCTGCCCTTCAGTTGTCCAGACAGGCTCTGGCCTGCAGGTCACGGCAAGTGCTGGACATGCCTACCTCTCCCATCCCTGAGATGGACCAGCTATTTCTATTGTGGTTTTGTGCTCATAAAGCACACAATTATAAGCTGAAGAGCACCTGTATACATTTCTGACAGTGACATCAAGAAGATATTTTGTAAGAGTACAAATGCCTCCTGTAGAGGGATTTCAAAAGCTTACCAAGGGGTTACTCCAAGCAACCAGCCTTTCCTCTAATTATCATTACAGACCTATTGTATTATGAGTTTTCATGGCCACAAAGAGTTACACTACCAACATGTAATTTAGAAAGCCTGTAAACTTGAAGGTGTTTTTTGAACTTTGAAGACAAATAATGAATGCTCTGGAGTTCTGCAACAGGGACCCTTTTCACCCCGGACCATTCTCAATGGCAGCTGCAATGCTATGGGTTGGGTACCACGTTTTACCCTGGGAGAAACAGCAGGCAGTTATGGAGACTAGCACCAGTGTGTGGGAAGGGGGTACCAGGAGGCAAAATGCAGGTCAGGGAAGTCAGATTGTAATTGCCAACCACCCAGAGGGGGAAAAGGGGCTGCCTCCTCCTCAGATGCTAAACCAGGCTAGTGGGGGGGGGGGCAGGGGGGAGGGGGGCCTTGCGGTGAGGGAAGGGACACTGATAACAAGCCTTTGATTCCAGGATGGAGAAGCTGGCTGGTTCAGTGAGTGCCAAGGCTCCCTGTCAGTGGGACCGTATTACTGTATGGGAAACACTAACCTAGAGAGGCCCATGCGCCAGGGTTGGGGGGAAAGGAAGTGGGTAAAGGTGAGAAGCAACAGGGGAAGTCTACAGATTAGGACACATTTTTACAAGTTGTGAAAGTTTGTGTGGCAGTGGAAAGGGTGGAAATGAGAGAGCATGTGAGAAGGCTGCGCAGAGCTGAGCTGTGGAAACGAAGTGAGTGACTTACTGTGAAAGGCAAGGAACAGACGGCGAAGGTGATGGTCATAATAGCAAGGAGAATGAGGTGGTCCGTCTCCTCCGCCATGGACACCCTTTCCCCTCTCCTGCGGGTCGCAGGGCCTCCCCGCCCGCTGCCCACGGAGGGTCCGCAGCGGCTTCTCCTGCTCCTGCGGTACATACGGATGAGGTTGACGATGACACTGAAGTTGCAAGCGAGCACCGCCACGATGAGGAGCAGCAGCAGAGTGGCGTAAAGCTGCAGGTACGCGGTGCGCCCGTGCTTGAGGAAGCACCACGTCCCAGGGCAATACTGGACGTACTGCTCAGAGTTCAACAGCGGCACAGAGCAAAAGAGCAGGGAGACGGCGTAGATGGCGGGCAGCACTGCCAGGCCGCTGCGGCACTTGACGTGGCGCTGGTAGAAGTAGGGGTGCCCGATGGCTAGGTAGCGCTCCAGGGCCATGGCGAAGAGCATGAGCATCGTGGCCAAGCTGAAGAAGGTCATGGCAAAGGCGAAGTAGGTGCACACACGGCTCTCTGGTGCCAGTGCCACCAGGGTCTGGTTCCGCGCGTACGAAGCCAGCACCACGGGGCTGATGAGGCAGGTCCCGAGCAGGTCGGTGAACACCAGCTCGGTCACCAGCACGTGGAACAAGGAGATGGAGTTTCCGCGGCAGGCGCCGCGCCCCGCATCCCCCAGCCAGCGGCGCGCCAGCAGCGCCAGCGCTATGAGGTTCCCCAGTACCCCGGCCGAGAACATCACGGAGCTGATGGCTGGGCTTTCGCCCGAAGGGAGCCACTTTCGAGTACCGCAGTCCTCGAAGTGGGAGTCATTGGAGGTATTGTCCATGGTGGGGTGTAGGGAGCAAAGATGTGTCCTCTCCCGGCTTGTACCTGGCAGGAGGAGGGTCTGACAGCGGGAGCGCTCCAGGACCCAGAGAGAAAAGGGGAGGGATCGAAATCCAGAACCCCCTTCCGGCCCCCGGCGCTCCCGAGGGCTGGCTAGACCCCGGTCTCCCGCAGCTGCTGGACAGGCAGCTCGGCTGCAGCATCCGGCCGGTGCTCCAGGCTCCGCCGACCCGCGCCCACCGTGAGCCTCGGGAGCTGCTGACTCCTCCTCCGCGCCGCCGGGGCTGGGCTCAGTGTTAAGGGTGTCCTTGGGCAGGCACCCACGAGATGCCCCGGGGCGCTGCGAGCCCTACAGCGCTGGCGGGGAGTGGGGAGGGAGAGGGTCCGGGTACTGGCCAGGAGCGCTGCCGGGGAAGGCGTGCGGGCTGCGGGCTGCGGGCTGCGGGCTGCGGGCTGCGGGCTGCGGGCTGCGGGCTGCGGGCGTCAGGGAGCTGCTTGCGTTCAGGGGGAGCGGCGTTTCCTGCTCCACTCCCTCGAGTTTGGGTGCTGAAGCCGCCCAGTCCTCTGACCTTCTCTAGGAAGTGTTTAGCCCTGGCAGAGGCATGGAAGGCAGCAACGGGAAAAGCAAAGCTAGTTGCCAGAAAAGAGAGAAGTTAGGAAGACGCGGTCTCGTGAGATGTTAAAAAGAAGGGAGTAACAGACACCAAAGACAGCTTTTAGTAAGACCAATATGTTCTTTATCTTCTTCTTCTTTTTTCACATTCGCAGGAAGATACACTAAGAGGGCGGGACCCACACTGGGAGGAAGTGGAAAGCCAGCTTGTCCATCCAAGCAACCAAACCATGCATGCCCCTGAGCTGCCTGTTGCACTCACTATTGCTTTTATTCGGTTGCCAGCATTTCACCTTTTCCTATGCCAACACCATAACGGCTAACCAACCACTTGTTTAAGCAACCATTTCTTTTAAAAAGGAAAAAAAAAAGATTCTTGTGAAGAATTTTTTGTGGACACGGCTTTAACTACTGCACATTGTTCTCTCCTCAAGCTCTGCCTTGAAATAAAAGGCCGTGCAGCCACTAGTTTTTTCACAGTTAACCGTGGCCTATCCGGCAAGACCCATTCCTGGTAACGTTTATTGGTTAAGTGGTCAGGTTAAGAGACTGCAGCTGACAAAAATGGTCGTTTACCATCTACTGTCATACTTGCCGAGTCGTGAAAATGGGCTTATGTGTAACCAAAAAAAGTCCAGTTTGACAGACATGAGTAGTTATATTCTATAAGGAAGGTCTTAATCACATGGGCTAGGAGGAGGAGAGAAAGGTGGAAGGATTTGCATAGGAAACTGGCAAGGGAAAAAAACCATGTTGGAGTGAAGGAAAGATTGCTTGTTGGAAAGCACACCTTACTAGAGCCTACTTGCTCTCCATGGATACTTGAGCTCACATTGTTAATTCTGGCCAGGGGATTGGAACGGGGATGGGGTTCCCAACAGGGCAAACTAAGGGGGTTCTCTTTTTCTCATATAAGAAGTTCAACAGTGGCAGGTTGGTGAGCCTCCCCTGGAGTCTCCTCTCTGGCCCTGTTATTCCTAGCACGTTGGCTTCCTGTCTCCATGGTCTTCCCCACCCGGTCACCAGTTGCTGCCTCTGTCAGTCAGGATCCAACCAGAGAAACAGACCCACTGAGTGATAAGGAATGAGAAATTTATTGTTAGACACTAGACCTATGTCCTTCAGTATGGTAGCCACTAGCCACAGGTAGCTATTTAAATTTAAATGAGTTAAAATTAAGTAAGAATAAAAATTTTATTTCTCAGTTGTGCAAGGTATATGTCAAGCACTCAAGAGCTACATGTTCCTAGCGGTTATCTTATCAGCAGCTCATATATAACGCACTGTCATCTTCACAGGTGTTCTCTAGGACAGGGCTCACATGATTGTGGGAGCTGACGAAAGAGTCTACGAAAGGCTGTTTGCTGTCTTTGGTTCTAGTGTTGAGCCCGAAGTCACCCAGGGTCAGCCAGAAGGAGTCAGAGTAGAAAGCTGGACTTGGATGAGGGCAGGAACAGACTTGGAACCTGCAGGCGCAAACTGGAATTCATGAACACCTGGAATCCTCAAAGACAGACGGGACCTGCATGTATCTCTCACTACTTCCAACCTTGATAATGCAGGAGAAGCTAGCACCCATCATGGAGCTGTGAATGCACTTGACTTAGGACTTGGAGGGACTAAAAAAGGAGATCTGGCAGGAGCTGGAGTCTGGGTGCTGCCTCATGCCAGCAAGGTGAGCCAGCAGAGTTACCACCATGCCTGGAGCCCTGCATTGTCCCCCAGAGCATGAAAACCATGGCTGATGCTTCGCTGCTGTCTTCCAGATCTTATGCAACATTTCTCGGAGACCAACAGTAACCTATGCAGGATTCTGGAAAACAGATCCTGCTTAGTTAGCTGAGTTGACGTTGTACAAAGTCTCCACAACTACCCAGCAGTTCCAGGCATCAAGTCTGCATTGAAGGCAGAGGGAGAGGGAGAGACAGCACCTGTGAGTTTGCTCTGTCTTGTGCCTGTTTCTTTTATCAGGAGAGTAAAAGGTTTTCTAGAAGCACCCCAATAGACTTTCCTTCTCATCTCATTAGCCAGAACTAGGTAAAATGGCCAACTCTTAGCTCTAAAAGAGGCTGAAAAGGGGGGTATTGAACATTTCCAGCCTCTTCTAGATAAGAGGCTGGCAAGGAATGATGTTGTGTTAGTCAACCAACAGTGTCTGCTGCAGATCTAACACAGTGCATTACCCACTATCAACTCCTAATATTAGCTGGAAAGGAAGCTTGAGAATATCTATTCCAAGAATACCCATTTCATTCACATTTGAAGAAACTGAGGCATAGAAAGGTTGAGTGGTTTATCCAAGGACACAGAGAGTTAGTGCAATAAAACTAGGAGTATGGAAGCCAGACCATCCAATTTATATTTCAGGCCCCTGTGTATTGGCCACTCTGTCCTTTTAAGGCCCTAAAGGAGCATGTGGCAAGATACCCAATCCTCAACACTGAACTTGAACTCATTGGCAAATCACTCAAAACAATTTAGATGTTACTTCGTGACTGACACATTGGTAAAGTTTGAAAAGATTGTACCTACTCAGTATGACCAAAGATGGAAATGGTTTCCAGACTGTCAGAGGGGAGGGGAATTGGGGGATGGGTGAGAAAAAAATAAAGTGGTTAAACAACAAAATATATCTATAAAACACATAGACACAGAAAACAGTATAGTGGTCGGCAGAGGGAAAGGGGGTGGAGGCAGGTGCAAGAAGGCAGAGTCGGGGTCAATGGGGACAGAAAGAGACTTTAGGAGATGAGCACACGATGCACTATGCAGATGATGTTTTTTGAGTTGTATGCTTGAAATCTGTATGGTTTTGTTAACCAATGTCACTCCAATAAACTAAAAAATAAAGATGGCAATGGTCTCACTGTTGGTGAAAGTGTGAGTAGATACAGCCTTCCTGGTGGGAATAGTTTATTTATTATGAAAATTTTTGAATATGCTTTAGCCCAGAAATAATAAAATGTATTACCCCAAGGAGACATAAATGCACAAAGATTTTACACATATGCACAGAGAAAGCAGAAGGAGCATTCCTTATTGCAAGAATCTAGAACTAAATGCCCTCTCATAGAGAACTGGTTTAATACATTCGGTACACTTACGCAACAGAATATACAATCATTAAAATGGATGATGTGTGTCTACGTTTATTGATAATGATGTTTATTATCTGTTGAATTAAAAGCATGTATACTATTTCAATCACATAAAATTACATGCATAAGTATTTGCATAGAGAAGCATCTAGAAGGATGTTTAGCAAAGTATTAATTGTAATGTCTCTTGGTAGTGCTTTCTTTTTTATGCCTGTCTCTCTTGGTTGATTTTTTTTCTCTGTGTGTTGCATTTATATTAGGAAATGAAAAGAAGCTGCTTTTTATTTAGACAAAAAAAATAATCATTGGAGGAGACTGTTTTCTACTTGGTTAAAGGTAAGAAGTTAGATGCTAATGGTTTTTTTTTTTTAGATGCTAATGTTTTAAACTCTCTTCCAGTTCTATGCTTTAATGAGTGAGGAGGTCTTATGGTAGTTTGAAACTGATCAGGAAGATTGGAGGTGCTACTATACATTTTCACAAGGGTTTTGCAATTCTCCTACTTATTTGAAGACTGGAAATCATCATACATTATTCACATTTTCAGAGATGGTGCCCTGTCCCACTTCAAGTGACTGCTTTGTCATTAGATTCTTGTCATCCCTTATTGTCATTGCTTGACCCAGTTCTGACACTACCATCACCAGGAAGTCCCTCTCTTATAAAGGTGGTAACAAATCAATCAAAAGGTAAAAAAAAAAAAGCAGTCAATATAGACCAACCTCAGGATATGTTCAAAAAATTAAGGGAAATTGTGAGTAGGTGGGTAAAGAATCTTAACAGAGAAACAGAAACTATGAAAAAGAACTAAATGGATATTCTAGAACTGAAATTCATAGCAGCTTGGGTTTGGCAGGAGCAAGGGTGACTTTGAAGACTAATCACATCTGGTTGCCTTTCTTTCCATGTCACATTGCTTTTGTGCTCATGGGAAATATTCTCACTCTTTCCAAACCATGTAAAACTTAGGTAACTGTTTTCTCTTACCTGTCCTGTTTCTACCCAAGAGTTGAAACATCAGTTTTCTATGCTCTCAGATTCCTCGAACCTCTCTGAGATTTTGAGGGTAAAGAGACATATAATCTAGGAAAACCGTGTTAACATCTTAGCTCTCATGTTCTCTTGCACTTCACCTTCCTTCCTCACAGCCTATGGAAGTTGTTGTGGGGAGAAGTGGTACAATTTTGCTCTTCCTCATTTCCTCTCTAGGCCTACTTTTTCAAGTCATAAGTCACGAATTGATGGCCATGTTGTGTTACATTGTCCTTTCTCTGAGGCAGTAAGCATAGAATGCTCCAACTGCTGCTAAAACCAGAGAAAGGTCTGGAATATCAGGAAGTACTGGGCAAAAAATACATAGGTTAGTATGTCAAATTACTATCTGGCCACCTTTGCCTTCCTGTAGGCGTGCATGTGTGTGTGTATTCAAGAGAACAGGATTTATTACAACCTCACAAAATTGTTTGAGAAACAACTTGATAAAGCCTTTGCAACACCCTGAGTCAATAAAAACTGTTTTATAAATGGATGTAAGAGAACAACAGTTCTCTTGTCCTCAGATGGGAAATATCAGAAAGGTAAACCCATAACACTGCTTGTTAGCACCAGGAATTAGATCAAATGAATCACTCCAATAATGTTAGGAAGACAAATTACCTATGATTCTAAATTTCTGTTTAAGATTGATAGAGCACAAAGAACCCAAGATAATTATGAAAATGCTCTTAGAAAGAGTTTGCTTCTAAGGATAGAACAAACTATAAGACAGTAAAGCACATATAACACACAAAAAAGGTTATGGTTGTTCAATTTATTTGTATAGAGTAACAACTCATTACAGAAATTTTGGAAAAAAAGGAGGAAGAAAAAAAGTCACCCATGAATGTATCCATCAAAAATGGCCACTCATAACATTTCAATGTTTCTTTCCATTTCTGTTCTATGTGCTTTTGTTTCCATAGTTGGGATAATATTGATAATTTTAT